TTATTTGGGATTAAAAACAGGCTAGAATGGTTATATCAAACAGTATACTTCCTGGTATCAGACAGGCTAATTCCTAGTCAAATTCGATATCATCATCTATAATAGAGTTAAAAGGCGCTAGAGACTTGAATTTAATATTAGAAATCATATAGCAAATTTGATTCGTAGGCGGGTTTGGAGGACTATTTTGAAATCTGTCCCAGAATCCCCCTTTTGTCCTATATGATATATATATAGATTAACCTAATACAAAATAAGCAGGCATAATTGATATATTTATTATAAGGATCATTACTTTGGACATAATACTAAAAATTATAAAATTAAAGCAAAAAAAGAATTATGACAAAATTTTTATTTGTTTTTTGTTGATTTTTGTTAAGCTTTTCTAGCTCATTCTTCATTTTTTTATATTAAATTGAGTTTCTGTACAGTTTTTTGTTGAATTACTGCCTTTTTTTTTTGTTTTATTTTCACGATTTTATATTTTACTTCTTTATTTATTATTTTTAATTGCTGCTAACTTTTCTCATTTGTGAAAAGTCGGGCAAATAAAAGTGTTTTTCTCTTTTTTAAAAGGAAGTAATAAAGAATCCAGTTGAATTTCAAAAGTTATTTAGAAGCTATTAGATTGTAAATTACAAAAAATTGGATATTAAAAGCTAAACATAAGATACATGTTGCAGAATTTTTATAAATATCTAGTTCCTCTTTTATTTGTGTAATTTGAATTTTTATTAATTCATTTTTATTTTTAAGCATGATATTTTCTTCTTTTAACATATTAATATTTAATCATGTAGAATGAGATAAAAATGTTAGATTTGATTCAATATATTGAATAAATGATAGATGAATAGTTGGATTTATAAAAATAAGTCAATAAATTTTTCTATTATTAATAAAGGATCTAAATGATCAAAATTAATAGCATTAAATAACCATATTTCTATTATTTTGTAGCCATTATAAATAACAAGTAGTGTATATATAGGTTTTAAAAAACTGAACAAAGAACTTTTATAAAGATATGTTTTATTACTATCATAATAATATTATTATTATAATATTTATCAAAGAAAAGCTCTGATAATTGCAAAATATGTGTTGTATAAGGAGAAAGTATGTAAAGAAAAATACTATTTTATTAGCAAAAGTCAATACATGTGTAATTAATATGATTTTTATGATCATCTAAGATTAGTAAAACTAGGTAAATAGATAAAATTAACTTTATAAAATAGTTAAGATACATTTAAAAAAGTTTTTTATACATATAACCAGTATTTGTAAAATTCATTATAGTTTCAGATGATGCATTTTCTAACAAATTAACAAATTAGGAATTGTACAAACAACTTTATAAATAATTAAAGATGGAATATATGATCCAATAGCTGAAATAGTTAGTACTAAATAAATGTGTTCATAAAAATTTCCATATGATACTTTATGAACTTGATATGCATCTCTTCGAGTAAGAATTTTTTTAGATTTGAGAATAATAACAAATCCAATTTTATTTATATTCCAAATTTATGTAATGATACGTGAATTTTTATAAATAATTTGTTTAAGCTTATCAAATAATTTTAACAATCATTGTATTTGCTTTTGTATATGTGCTTCTGATAATTTTTAGGAAATGCGAATTGATAATTTAGAATAATTTCTCATGAAACATTTTCACTAATCATAATCTGGTTTATTTTTGCTAAATAGATATTTTCGCTTATTTATTTGCATAATTTTTATTATATAATGATTAACTTTTTGTCTTGTTAAATTAAATCTAAGCTTTTGCATATTAATGCAATAGCATACAAGTTGTTCTTTTTTATATTTGGTAAGAATAATTAGTAGTTATAAATGACCAAAAAAAGCATTATTTTTTACAGTTTGTTAAAGTATAACTTTTAAAAATCTAAAGCTTTTAATACATTGGAAGTTTTGAATTAATAGAATAATTTTTTAATGCATCAAGTGTTGCATAAATTTTATTTTGTCAATTAATATATGACTGCATTATTTTATTTTAATATAATAAAAAATAAAGTGACTTGAATTAAAAAAATTTTATATTTATATTAATTTAAACACACATTTTTTATTTAAAAATATATTGAATAACAATTTAAATAATGTATTTAGTAAAACATGATAAAATAAATATTTATATTATCATAAATTTAACAGGATAACCATTTTTTTTTTAATTTTTTAATCAATACGTCATAATACCCTGATCTTTCTTATGATTTACTAATATAAGGTATTTAATTATAGTGTATAAAATTTATATGCATAATATATTATTAATTTTAAGTAAACAATATTATACAACATAAAATATGCATAAATTATAATTAAAAATAGATAAATTGTATATAAGAAAGTAATTTTACACATAAGAAATTATTATGAAAAATTTTTTATTTAATAATAAATTTATAATTTATACATATAATTTTTAACTTAAATCTTGCATATTATTCAATTATAACTAATTTTATATATTTTTAAAAATAAATAAAATATTAACAATTTACCTTTCACAATTATCAGTTTATTTATTAATTGCAATATTAATATTACTTTTCTTTTAATTGATTTATTGGTTGATATTTTTTTATAAATTATAAATAAATGATTTTTTTATTATTAGTTTGATTTTATAATAATATCATCTAAAATTGTATTTATTATATTATTAAAAAATAATAATAATAATTAAAAGTAAAATATTTTCTAAAGAAATTTATATATATTTTAAAGAATATTTAAAAAAAAATGAAACTACTTTGTTAAGTTTCTAATAAAATATTTGCTTTTATTAATATTTTAATCAAATTATAATTAATTTGATTTTTATTAAATCAGTTGTAAAATCTTAAATATAAGAATTATAATATAAAAGTTTGTAATATTTGCAACTTTTTAGATTATAACCAGATTTATTAAATCAGTTGTGATAGCATCTTTAGTCCAGTTAAAATCTGTTGTAAATGGTTATCATCAATTTTTGCATAATTTATATTATTCAAAAAATATATACTTAAAATAATAGATAGATAATATTATCAGATCATATAATAATATATTAGAGTTTAAGTATTAGAGTTAGAATTAGAATTAAAAGTTAAATTTGGGATTATGATTAGATATTAAATATAAAATTTCTAGATTTTTATTATATGAATATAAAGAAAAAGATAAATAAATAATTATTATAGAGCTTATATTTTAATAAATAAAATACTATTTAATAAAAAATAATTAAATAATAGAATTTATTAAATAATATAATTAAAATTTAAAATTAAGATTATATAATAAAAAATTTAATATTTGATTTAACACTTTAATATATAAATATTTATTATTAGTTTGGTTTTCAAATTATTAAAATTATTATTAATAAAAATTTAAATTTTAATAGCTATAAAATTGTTCATTAAAAGTCTTTAATACTTTTTTTATTTTGTATTTTTAATTTATATTTATTTAGAATGAAATTTGTAATTTAATATTGTATAAATAAATTAAAGTTATCATCAAAAGGAATAAACTTATACTCTTATGATTTTAATAGAATGATTAGTGAAAAAGAATATGAAAAGTATCGTAAGAAAGTAAAGATTAATCATGAGAAAGATGTTGAACCTTATTGATTTTTAGTTATAATTTTATAAGTTAAATAAATTCAAATAGTGAATATAAATTAAGTAATTTATTTTTTTTTGTAATATAAATTTAATTGCAAAATAATATAAATCTCAATACAAAGTAAAATAATTAGGAAATGCATGAATATTTACTGTAATAAGCCTACAACTGGTAAAAATTCTTGTTCGTTCACCCTTTCGGTTTGGTATAAAGGGAATGTTTTTTTTGGTTTATGTTTTAATATTTTTTTAATGGACAAAATAGGGCCTTTGCAATAGAATGGGGGGAAACTACCAAACAATAAAATCTAAAAAGACAATGAATTGTCATTATTGTTATAGTATTAGGTAGTTTCCTCCCTTTCTATTGCAAAGGTCCCAAATAATAAAGTTGCATAGCCACAAAGTTTACAAGCCCGCATCATTTCTTTGTTACTTTATTAAGGAAGATGTGTTTAAATCTGATGAAAATGGTGTGTTATATTGAATTAAAAATTCGATGATTTGTACGACCCTCTCTTTTTTTATATAAACAGACAAAATTAGCACATAAAAAAAAATACCTTTTTTTTAAAAAAATATATATTACAAACAAACAACTACTTATCCTTACCTTTTTACACATCTTTACTCAAGTTGAGGTTGAAGACAAAAAAAAAAAAATGATTTCGAAATTATCAACAGAAAATTTGATACAAATATTTTATAATCTGAACAAATGCACCGATTTACATTCATGTCTTTTGGTGAATAGATTTTGGTGTAGAATAATAGTTCAAATCTTATGGGAAAAACCAATCACACCTAAAATTTCTAATAAAGCATTTAAATCGGTGGTGAGGACGTATTTAAAGTGTTTGAATAGAGAATCGATCAGGAGAATTAAAGATATCAAATCATTCACTGTAGAGTTATCTGATGAGATGCCAATGTTTAATTATCCAGAATTTTTGAGAGATTTGGTTGTTGATTCAAAGTTCGATCATTATGTTCGTTCTACCGTTGGTTATCAAGAGCAATTAAAAAAAGATATATTATTCTCAGAACTGGCAAGATTATTATGTAGAAGGTCAATCAAATTACGATCATTATCAATTTCACCATGTAATATGTTAAGTCACTTTGTAACTTTGTTGACACGTAATGATAATTTAAGTCAAATTAAAAAATTTACGTTCGATGGAGATTTTATATATACCACTCCCTTATATAAGGATTGTGAATTAATATATGCCTTATCACAAGTATCACAAGACATCACGCATGTACGAATTACAAATATTTATAAAAGATCATTAGGAGATTCTTTAGTAACTCTCTTAAATTCACAAAAAAATTTACGTTTATTGGACTTGAACTGTCCTGTAATACAAAACGTAAAATATTTCGAATCCATCTTTTCAAAATTGAAATCACCTCAATCAATATTTAGTTTATCGTTTGAAAATATTGATTTTAGTTGCTCAGCCAAACGATCAATCAATACACTAGAGAAATCACGAAATTTAAAGAAACTTAAAATGATAGAATGTGTGAATTGTACATTACTGTATGAAGTAATGAGATCATGGGAGAATTTAGTAGAATTCACTTATCACGCTCATAAATTTAATGATAATTTAGAATTTTTATTAACCATGATGAGATTGTCTTCGAATTCTCTTAGGTATTTGGATATTTTTTGGATCAGAGAGGATGGGAATTTCTTAAAAGAAAAATCTAGAATAATTAATTGCATTACTCAGTATTGTGCTCAACTCACTTCGCTTAAATTACGTAGTTTACATTGTGAAGATTTATTTACTCTTTGGCATAGTTGTAAGCAGTTGGAAGCATTTAGTTTTATTTGTTGTGAAGATAGTGGTTGGAACGATTGTTTAGAAGAATTAGGAAAATATTTACCCCATTCTATCAAAATATTGAAAATTGGGAATTGGAATGGTTTACCTTTTAACTCTGTAGCTTTGGGGTGTTTTTTGAGAGGTTGTAAAAATAGTTTGAATAAATTGGAACTTTGTAGTATTAGAAAATTAAGTGAAAACTCCGAATATATAAATGTATTAAACAGTAGTGGTGTTCATTACGAATTCTTAAATGTCGTTTAATTTAAATTTTATATAATATTAACATGCTGTCATTTATTTATTCATCAATTTTTCTTTTTTGGTAAAATCTTTTGTAATGTTTATACAAATAAACAAGACATTCATTCATTATGCTGTAAAATAAAAAAAATAATAATTTCACTCATCCAATATTCTTCCACTTAATTTTTTTACCATCATTCGAATAAATTTGCATAGCATATATCTTGAAATTTTTTGTCACGAATTCGAATTTTACAACGTCTCCATTGCTTTCACCTGAAGAAAAAAGCTGATAGACATACAGAATAAGATTTTGCAATATCAACCGATAAATAAAATATTCTCGACACAATTATAAGTTTGCTTAGAAAAAATATCTACATCAGGATCTAGAAACAGAATCTACTAAGATTTTGAGAAATCGTGAAATTGGACCTTCTTGGATGTATGTATGCTTATTAAATTTCAAAATGATCTATCCGAAGACTTAGTACTCTTATTATATGTGTTCAGAGTGGCACACTTTTCACTAAGGATTCCCGAATTCCGATGAAATTTTCATGCAAGTAATTTAACGCGTGGTAAAATCGAATATAAAGATTTGATAAATATAGATAATTCATTGACTATATTTTTTAATTTTTTTTTGGAATCCTCGAACTTACCGTTCAGAAAACAATTCTCTATAATCTGAGTTATCCCTGAAAAAAAATGAAAAAAATAATGTAAGATCTAATCTTTTTGAATATGATCGAATTGATTAATCATCGAACACTTTCAAATGCTTTCGATACTATGTTAATCTCTAAAATCTCTGGAACTTGAAAATTGATTAAAAACAATCACATTCATAAAATTAGTTTAATGAATTCCATGTAAATTTACACGAAACTTTTTGATTAACTCTAAAGAAGAAATCTAGAAGATCGATTCATAAATCTTTGTGTACGTTGTTAACGGATAGAAATACAATTTATCAAAGAACAATTGTAAAGGTGCTTCAAAAACATAATTTCAAGTTGCATCTAATCAAAAAAATTTTTTATTTGTTTTATGTTTGAATTTGTTTGAATTAGTAAATTTTTTTTTATATGATTTATTTTTAAATTAAGAAAATAACGTTCGCAATCATGAAATTATTCAAAATTTCTGTTCTTAATTACCAACAAAAAAAAAGAAAAGCTCTATTGAATTTACATTAAAGTTCTAATAATAAAATTTTCGCAAAATTCGGACTTTGATTTATAAAAAAAGTATTCTCGTGTAATATCGCGTTTAATATATTGATAGATTGCTCACATTTCACATGTTCTTGTTAATAAATTAAAGTTTCAAATTAATTCAGTTTTTGTTTTTAGCAAAATTTGTATCTAGTATTTAAAATCAGAATTGGAAGAGTATATAATTTACTTAACGGAGTTCGAAAATTTTTTTTGTGATTAAAAAATCCATTTGATTGGCTGATGATCGATTGGTTAGAATAAGAAAGATTTTGATTGGTGAATACCATTTATATATCGAAGCATTTACCTGATATAACGTTGAAAGTTTCTAATTAAATAATTATATAAATACAATAGCCCTGTTCAGTTCTGTTCCATTTGATCCGATCTGATTGTCAAAACATTCAGCTAATCAAAATCATAATCATTAACAAACGGATCAACGAACGAACCAAAAAATTTGATGATCCAAATGTTCGAAAAAAAAAAAAGTGCTCTTACTACGAACATGATTGGTCAAAATATCAAATTATTGAAAATATTGAAACGGAACAGTTTTTCTGCTCTAAAACTTTTTTTATAAAAATTGGATCGGATCAAAATGGAACAGGGTTAGTGTAGTAGAAAAAATCGGATTAAATGGCGAAGAATCAAACAAACTTTATTCGAAAGGCAAAAGTTTTTAGTCATAAGTAGATGTACTATTTTCAATCTCTTTCTCTTGATAATTTTTATTTACAGAATATTACAAAATTAAACCGGTAATTCGAATTTTATAATTTATTTAGTTTCCCGAAATTGAATAAACACTATATCACTAAGTACTGTTATTCCTGACTCTTTTGTACCAATCTACAATTCTTTTTTTAGCTCCTTTACCCTGTTTATCGAATGATTCAAGATATATTTGTGCAAGTTTGTTACCTTTTTCAGCGGCTTGACGATACAATGCAATTGCTTTGTCTTTGTTAACTTTAGTTCCAATTCCTTTATCATAACAATATGCAACTTTATACTGTGCATCTAAATATTCCTGCTCAGCTGATTTATTATAAAATTCAAAGGCTTTAACTTCATTTTTTTCAACGACTTTCCCACATTCATAATATAAACCTAAATTATACTGTGCAACTTCATTTCCATTATCTGCAGCTTTCTCAAACCAACCATATGCTTTTCCCAAATTTTTTTCCGTTCCTTCACCTTTTTCATATAATAGTGCAAGATTATTTTGTGCGAGTTTATTACCTTTTTCGGCTGCATCCTTATATAACTTAAATGCTGTTTCTTTATCGATTCCAATTCCAATTCCCATATCAAAAAAATATGCAATCTTGTATTGCGCATTTAAATATCCTTGAGCAGCTGATTTTGTATAAAATTCAAAAGCTTTAGTTTCATTTTTGTCAACACCTAATCCATTTTGATAACATCTACCTAAATTAGATTGTGCAGCTTTAGATCCATTTTCTGCTGCCTTTTTATACCAATAAAACGCTAATTCTAAATTTTTTTCGGTTCCTTCACCTTTTTCGTATAATGATCCTAGACTATTTTGAGCCAAATTATTTCCATTTTCGGCTGGCTCTTTAAATAATTCAAATGAAATAACCTTATTAATTTCTGTTCCCACACCTAAATTATGGCAATATGCAACTTTATATTGTGCATCTAAATATCCTTGTTCAGCTGATTTTTGATAAAATTCAAAAGCTTTATATTTATCCTCTTTGACATATTCATAAAATCTACCTAGATTATATTGTGCTACTTTATTTTCATTTACTGCAGCTCTTTTAAACCAATGGAATGCCATTTCTAAATTTTTTTCGGTCCCTTCGCCTTGTTCGTATAATAATCCAAGATTATTCTGGGCAAATTTATTTTCACCTTTAGCCAAACTTTTATATAATTCAAACGCCCTTTCTTTATTAATCTCGGTTCCAAATCCCTTATTACAACAAAATGCAACTTTAAATTGTGCATTTATAAATCCATATTTAGCTGACTTTTCATAAGATTCAAACGCTTCAACGTTATTGTCATAATCATAATATAAGTCTAGGGAGAATTTAGCTAATTTATTCTCATTTGCCATTGCCTTTTGAATATGATAAAAATGTTTTTCTAAATTCTGTTCGGTTTCTTTTACTTCTTCAGACTTATTTTCTGCAGCCTTTTGATACCAATAAAAAGCCATTTCAAAGTTTTTTTCAGTTCCTTCGCCCAGTTCATACAATAATCCAAGATTATTTTGTGCAAGTCTATTTCCCTTTTCAGCTGCATTTTTATATAATTCAAATGCCTTTTCCTTATTAATTTCAGTTCCAATTCCTTTATCATAAGAATATGCAACTTTATATTGTATATCTAAATGTTTATATTTAGCCAATTTTTTATACAATTCAAACGCGTTAGCTTCATTATTTCCAATACCATCTTTACATTTATTATATAAATCTAAGTTACTTTGTGCTAAATTATTTCCATTTTCTGCTGCTTTTTGAATCCAACGGAAAGCCATTTCCAAATTATTCTCATTTTTTTCATCTTGCTCATATAAAAGTCCAAGGTTGTATTGTGCAACGTCATAATTACTTTCTGCGGCTTTACGATACCAATGAAAAGCCATTTCTAAATTTTTTTCAATTTCTTCACCTTTTTCATATAAAATTGCAAGACTATTTTGTGCATATTTATTTCCTTTTTCTGCTACATTCTTGTATAATTCATGCGCCTTTTCTTTATTCATCTCAATTCCGATTCCTCGATCATAACAATATGCAACTTTGTATTCTGCATCTAAATACTCTTTTTCAGACAACGTTTTATAAAGTTCAAAGGCGTTAACTTCATCTTTTTCAACGCCTTTCCCACATTCATAGCAAATTGCCAAATTATATTGTGCCACTTGGTATCCATCTTTTGCTGCTTTATTATACCAATAAAAAGCCAATTCCAAATTCTTTTCAGTTCCTTCACCTTTCTCATATAATAATCCAAGATCATTTTGTGACAATTCATTTTCTTTTTCAGCTAAATCTTTATATAATTCAAATGCCTTTTCTTTATTAATCTCGGTTCCGATTCCATTATTATAGCAATTTGCAACTTTACATTGTGCATTTAGGTATCCATGTTCAGCCGACTTTTTATAAAATTCAAAAGCCTTAGTTTCATCTTTTTCAGTACCTTTTCCAACTTCATAATTTAACCCTAAGCTATATTGTGCTAATTCGCTTCCGTTTTCCGCCGCTTTATTATACCAAATTAATGCGTTTTCCAAATTCGTTTCGGTCCCTTCACCCTGTTCATACAATAATGCAAGATTATTTTGTGCAAGTTTATTTCCTTTTTCGGCTGCATCCTTGTATAACTCAAATGCTTTTCCTTTATCGATTTCAATTCCAAATCCCTTATCATAGCAATAAGCAACTTTATATTGTGCATTTAAATATTCTTGTTTGGCTGATTTATCATAACATTCAAAAGCTTTAAATTTGTCACATTCAATACCTATCCCATCTTCATAATATAATCCTAAATTATATTGCGCAAATTTATTTCCATTTTCTGCTGCCTTTTTAAACCAACCAAATGCCATTTCCAAATTTTTTTCGGTTCCTTTACCTTGTTCATATAGTAAACCAAGGTTATATTGTGCGCAATTATCTCCTTTTTCGGCAGCATCTTTGTATAACTCGAAGGCCTTTTCTTTATTAGTGTCGATTCCAATTCCTTGTTCATAGCAATGCGCAACTTTAAATTTCGATTTTAAATATCCATCATCGGCTGACTTTTTATAAAATTCAAAAGCATTAACTTCATCTTTTTTAACACCATTTCCATATTCATAGCATTTTCCTATATTATATAGTGCATCTTTATATCCATTTTCTGCTGCTTTTTTATACCAATAAAATGCCTTTCTTAAATCTATCGTTGTTCCTTCACCACTTTCGTATCGTTCTCCAAGATTATATTGTGCAAATATATTTCCTTTGTCGGCTGCCTCCTCGTATAACTCAAATGCCTTTTCTTTATTAATTTCAATTCCAATTCCCTTATCATAGCAATATGCAACTTTATATTGCGCATCTAAATATCCTTGATTTGCTGAATAATTATAAAATTCAAAGGCTTTAATTACATCTCTTTCAGTACTAGTTCCAATTTCATAAAACGTGCCCAAGCTATATTGTGCAAATTGATTTTCATTCTTTGCGGATTTTTTATACCAGTAGAAGGCCTTTTCTAAGTTATTTTTAATTCCAATCCCATGTTCATAGCAATTCCCCAGATAAAATTGTCCGATAGTACTTTCACATTCCGCAGCCTTTTGGTACCATTTAAATGCTAAATCATGATTTTGTTCTATTCCATGTCCATCATTAAAACATTGAGCAAGATAAACTTGAGCTAATGAAAAATTCTCTTCGGATGATTTTAAAAATAAATGATATCCATTGCTTTTATTCTCTTCCGTGTTAATATAATAATAATGAAATAATCCTAAAAACCAAATATATTGTGATTTTACTTGATTTTCTGATAGCCACTTTATGATTTCATTTATATTTTGATTCATTTGCGATATTTGTTGATTGACGAATTGTTGAACTTTATCAAAAGTAATGCCTCTATTATGTTTTTCAATTATAATCTTAATTAACTCATCTATAGTAACTGCTAACGATTCAACGGATTCATCAAAATCAATTAAATTTAGTATGTTATCCATTATCAAGTCCTGGTTCATGTCTGAAAATTCTTTTGGTTTCAAATCGCAAATGGTTTGACGGGTTACTCTTTTTTCCGCCAAAAGACATTGTGTTTCCTCGCTCAACAATTGCACATTATTGTACATTGTTTTAAGGGTTTTAAGGGCCGAAGCAACTTCATGAATATTCGGGCGCTCGTTGGGTTCACCTTTCCAACAATCTAATAATTAAATGAATAAAATTATAATTCTTTCCTTAGTTTTTTTTTTTTTTTTTTAAAAAAAAAAAAATGTATATTGTAGTATTATTAAAATTAATATGACAAACCCGTATATAAGTCGCTATAATCAGTAGGGGTTCCATCAATAATTTTTTCTCTTTCCCCTCCTTGTATAGACAATGCCAAACATGCGTCATATTTTGTACCTTCAACATAAAATGGTCGACGTCCACTTGAAATAAGCCACATAATAACCCCAATACTATAAACGTCAGATTTTTTATTAAGTTTATAATTTTCATTTTGATTTTTAATATTCCTTTGATTACTGAACATTTTTGGATCCATATAAGGTATTATACCAAATACTTCCATAATGCTATTTGTTTCTTCAATTTTGTTTGATAATCCAAAGTCTGCAAGTTTAATGCTCTTCTGATGTATTAGTATGTTACCTGCATGCTTCAATTCAATTCAAAAAAAAGTGAATTAATTAAATTACTATATACATAATCATTGAATTTTACAAGCATATAACGTTTGACAACATATTACCAGATCACGATGAATGATGTTACTTTCGTGCAAACACTCTATAGCATTTGCCAATTGCAACGCAAGACCAATTTTGTCGTCCCATGCAAGTTCAAGAAAATGCTCGTTTAGATAATTCTCTAACGTACCGCTGTCAGCATATTCCAAAACCAAAGTGTAATAGCTCATTTGACAATTCACGTCTGATGAAAAAAAAAAAAAAATTTTTTATTTAACATTAAATTAATTTAATTTTGCGTAATATAATATTCATTCTTACCAGTATCTTTCTTTGTGATTCCGTGAATTTCCAATATATTTTGATGAAAATGAACGGCACGATGTAATTTTAACTGTAATGTATAAAATGAATAAAAATAAATGATTAATAAAGTATTTAAAACAATTAACGTTTGTAAAATCTTTCAATAAAATTATAAATTCCTTACCTCTCTGACAATTCCTTTAAGAGTTGATGTTCTATTAAACGACTTTAAAGCGAATACAGTATCTGTATTTTTCCAATTAGCACGAACAACGCTTCCAAATGAACCACAACCTATCGGTTGTATATTTTTAAAGTCCGAGTAATCATAGGATTTGATATGTTCTTTGGCAATTGCTTGTTCTAACCAAATGTCAATGTCATCACATGAATCATGAGAATCACTTGAACCTTCAGCCCTCGGCATTTTTTTTTTTTTTTTTTTTTTTTTTTAAAAAAAAGAAAAATAGATCTAACGAAAAATCAAAGAACAAGATGTTTAATGAAATCAGATTTTGAAAAAAAAAAAAATTTCCCTTTTTATATGGCAAGATTAAAACGTTGCTCAATATGAATCTGTTATTGTTACACCATCAGTTTTTTTATTGTCAAATGCATATCGATATTTAATAAACATCCAAATTTGGACTTCATTTACTTTCATTGAGTGCAGTACAATACAATACAATAAAAATGCTTATTACCGTGCAACAAAGAAATTTTTTTTTTTTTTACTTCCCAATGACAATGTCTCGTTGGTCGCACGCGTGTGAAATCCCGTCAAATTGCGACATCGCCACAAATTAACTAATGACAACGTGTAATTCATAGACGTCTAACATTAATAAATTAATAAATATTTTGGACAAATAATGACAAATAAATGGGAAATCGATTATCTATAATGATAAATATTTAACAGACAAGATATGGCCTCTTTTGTACGTCAAATTCACAAAAAAAAAAAATTTTTTATAATTTAAGGATACATTTAGCTTATTAATATAGATGAATGATATAACATCTTTTTTTCTTCAATTCAAGAATAAAGATCCCATTAAAGTCGATTCTTTGTGATCGTCTGAATTTAAATTTCATATACCGATACGGAAACGTTCAAATTCATCATACGAAATTAAAAGTATCTTGAATTTAGATAAAATTGGAGTTTCATTTAAAAAATTACAATTGAGGCCTAAAAAATCCTTAAAGTATTTGTTAACTTGTTAATTAACCGGTTAAAAATCAACCTCTTTATTGATGTGCCACTTCATTACTATGACCTTAAGATAGATTACTTTAAAAAAAAAGTTCTTGACTTTTTTACGCTGAAAAAAAATATATATACACTGAAAAGATAATTGGTTTCAGTAGAATCAAGGGCATCATAAAATTTTATGATAACTACAAAGAAATTCTTTTCGCGTGCGAAAAAAGATGATTGTGAAACTTTGGAAAACGCGTGATTTTTGTCACAGGAGGAAATGGCTTGATTGTACATTAGTTTTTTTTTTAAAAAAAAAAAGGAAAGAAGAAAAACGCCTTAAGAAATTATCACAAAAGCTAAACGATAAGCACAAAAAAAACAAAGATAATACTATATATTTGTCTTCAGTGAAGCCATGTAGAGAAGCGATTACATGATCAAGTCGTGTAGTCGATTTGCGTGATGATCCAACATTTCGACTTTTCAAGAATACCCCAGAATTCTGTTCGGAATTCATTGAAGAAGAAATTCGTTTACTTGATACTTGCCGTAAATTATTTATTGAAAACGATGTTAAATTGGAATTTCATTTTTCAGCGAATAAAGGAGAATTAATCGAAATTAAAGATAAATTAATTGTCTAAAATATTATTATTCAAATTTCGATGGATTCAAATATTGATAAATTCTTATATGATTCAACCGCTTGTGTTTATGATTGTAATAAATTAAGGGAATGTGTTGCTTTGAATTATATTGTAAGGAATCCAAAGAATAAAGAGACTTATGAAGCAGAAAAATTAAATACTGAAATACTTATATCCGGTTTAATTCTTTTGAATCATGGAAAATAGAAAAATTACTCAAAAATTTCCTCAATACAAAATTGTAATATTTCATAACGTTGTTAGTAATAATACTCCAAACAATTACTGTAACAATTTTTATTTGTGATCTACAAACTACTGATGATCTACTAGTTTGTGATAGTCTATTTAGATACACAATATTATATCAATTACATTTGTAATTTGTGAATCCGATGATCGCTAATCTTAAATTTCTTACATTTCTATAATTTCTATAATTTCTCTGATTTCTCTGATTTCTTAGTGATCTTTAATTTCTTTAATATATTTAATTTCTTATATTCCTTTACTTTATTAAATATCTATTTTCTATTAATGTATTTTATATAAATATCTTGCATCTTTACTTTAAAAAAAGAGGAGAGTTAACTAATTATCTTCAAAATAATAAATATTGATAAAGACGATCTGACCCTTCAATTAATTAAACTTGTGTTTATTTCTTTTATGGTTTAGACGTAATTAACTCCCTGTTAGCAAATAATCATTGTTAACTTAACGACGGACTGTTTAAGATTAACAGTGTAAACAAAAAAGTAAATGAACAAAAAAAAGCAATTAGTCAAAACACAAATGTGAGATGTGACACAAAACAAAAATCTGATTAGATGATCATGACACACATTGCATCACCTACACTCATCCGATATATCCTTTAGCTATGCTTTAGACAATTAATCATATAATAAATAAAATGTGATAAATATCGTAATAATTTACTAAATCATATGGGGATGAAAATCTTATGGTAATACTGGGTAAGATCAAAAATCCGCGTGATATCACATGATCATGCATTTATATTTAGGTGATCTAATTGGCTAAAATATAATATATTGTATATTTTTTTTGCTTAAACTTTGAAGGATAATATCTCGATATTCACAAATTGGAATTATGCGAATTTAGGCTTGTTAAAACGTCTTTCTCTTGCTTTATTTTTATACCAAAATTCAGATAGATTAGATATTTGCTTGCAGAAATATTCTATCACAAAATCTGGCAATTTTCTCTTCCCTTGCAGAAGGATATCTTAGATACCATATTATACCTGGATACATACCACTAAGGATAAGTCTTCTGCCATTATTTTATATAATATTTTTGCAGAAGACTTACCTAAATACCTATACCCAGATATATATCACCAAGAATAAGTCTTTTGCCATTATTATTTTATATAATATTTCTGCAAACGACTTACTTAAATACCAATATCCAGATATATATTCAGATGGCTTTCTTTTATATTTTGCTGACTAAGTTTATATGAAGGCTTCTTCCATTTTTTATATAATAATTCTGAAGTTACCCTTATTTGGATAATACCTATTTAGAATGTATTAATCTGTGATTTTTTGCTAACCAATTATACATCTTTTTTTGTATCTATTGAAAAGATAAGTTTTCTTTCAATTTTATATAATAATTACGAAGAAGACTTATCCTCTGGATGTATATTATTTTGCCTTTCTTTTATGCCTAAGTACTTATCTAAAATAGAACTTTTTTCAATATTATATAAACTAATTTTGAAATTACCCACATATTCGAATATAGGGTTTCCGTTTGAAAATAAAATATTTGAATATTTGTTTATCAAATAAAAAAAATCAAATATTTGAAATTGATTGACTGATTCAAATATTTGAAACCATTTCAAACATCAAAAATTATTTCGGATATTTAAAATTCATTTCGGATATCAAAATTGATTTCAATTATCACAATTAATTATTAATCAATTATTTATTCTAATTTTACTAGTTTTTTTTAATTTTATTTTATTTTATTTTTAGATTAATTTATTTATATTAAAATTTTAATTTAAAAAACTACTAAATTTCTTTTTGCTTTTTTTTTTAGAAATGGATCTTTTGCTCTTTTAGATAAATCTTTTTTCTTACAATGGGTTCTTTGGGTTTCTTTGGAATTTCTTTGAGGGTTTCTTTCTTTTCTTTACTGATTTACTTCTTTTTTTTTTTTAGAAACAGATCCTTCAGATAGGTAAGTCTTCTTGGATTCTTTCTTTGGGATTTCTTTGGATTTCT